GCGAGAACCCGCCCCTGGCCCGCGTCTCCCCGGGCTACGCCAAGATGGGCGAGATGTTCCTGGCGCTCTTCCGCCACCACAAGTGGAGCCGCGTCCTGCTGGTCTACCACGACGACAAGGAGCAGCGCAGCTGCTTCTTCGCCGCCGAGGGCGTCCACCTCGTCTTCCGCGAGGCGGGCTTGCACCTGGACGACTTCGCCTTCGAGGAGAGCGGCAAGTACGCGGACGACGTGGTGCGCGCCATCCAGGGCGGCGAGAGAGGTGAGGACGCGCGGGCCGGGCGGGCTCCCAGGGGGATCGCCCGCGGAGCCGGTGCCTCGAGGCAGGCTCCCTAGCGGGGCTTCTGGGCTGCAAAACTGAGTGCCGGTGAAGCAGCGCCCAAACCGGGACGGGACGGGTCCCGAAGCGCACCGCCACGCGCCGGAACCGTGGATAGGAAACGTGTGGACAGGACCTGAACCAAGGCGGGTACGGGATCGGCGCGCGGCGAAGCACATGGCTGTAATCCGAATGGGATCGGGAACCTCCTGCGCACCTGATGGTTTGGAGTAGAACTCCCGTTCCGATCACGAAGCATTCTCGGAGTTGTAGTCCAAAACATCTGGAGAGCATCGGGTTGCCTGCGGTTCATCTCCATTTTAAGCTTCGTGCTATATTCATCCTGGGAGGGTGCCATCTCTGGCCGTATTTGCAGAGCTCGTTGCAAATATTTACTCAGAAGTAACTCGGACTGAGTTCAGTAGGTCAGACTTATTCCCAGGTAAGCGGATACATGGCAGTCACAGCTTCTGTCCTTGCAAATTCTCCGTGGGGTAAGTCCTGCTCCTTTTGGTAGGAGGGAAAGGAAAGCTGGGGGAAAAAAGAAAGGAGTTACCCAGGGCTGAACTATGAACAGAGGTGCGTCTGGAACCCAGGCCCAAACATCTCGTTCAGATACATCTGAGAGCAACTCATGGGGTTCTCCTTCATCCTACATCTTTTGCTCTCTTTCTAGGGATACTATGCGTGATTTATTAGACTTCAACACAGGGTGGTGTAGTAACTGGCAAGTTCTGTTTCAAAAAGGGGGAAACATGGAATTTACGGAAGAGGAGGTCACTGCTTTATTCCATACTTAATGTAAAGGTGTCTTGGACCTTTACCAGGTAGGGAGCATCCAGTAGGACCATGGATGCAAAACAAAATCCATAAAACTTCTGCTAATGCAGTGTAGGTATTATGAGCATCACCATACGCGCTATCCAATAGGGGTGCTTGATGGCTTGGTGCCACAGGACATATAGCATGCCAGACTGTAGTAGAACTATATCCTATGACATCAAGCCATCAAGTCCTATGATGTCAAGCCATCAAGAACTCCTATTGGGTAGTGCATCTGACATCCCTAATGGGAATTCAGTGAATGTGAATTCAATGGGAAGTGCCTTGCTCAGGAGAAAGATGTAACTTTGCGCACTGTAGCAGCACTGTAACTATGATAAAGGATAGTTCCTATCCAGAGACTGCCACCATGATAAATATCGACTGATATTTGATTTACATTCCATTTGATATGTGAGAGGAAGTTAAGGACATGAAGAATGGCTTCAACAGGTAGAGATACATCATTTACATTAAGCTTTATTGTACCTATAATTTTCAGAATCCCAATCCAGCACATGTCTGCTTTGCTTACCTCCTCCATTTAATTTGTCTATGATAACGACTAGTTGCAATCTTTAATCAAATTCTCAAGGTGATCTACAAGAAAATGTGAAAACAAAAACATGCTGATTTTCACATGTTGTTGCTGTGCACCGTTTCTGTTTTCATGCTTACAAAATGAAGAGGGATCTCAAATAAGATTGGTTATTCGTTCACTCGCTTGAAATTAAGGGTGCAGGTAGATTTACTCATTTATTAATCATTTCAAAGTTTCATATGACTCTGGGCTACACAAAGCTGGAATTTGTTATCATCGTTCTATTTTATACTTTTTATAATGTGCCTTTATGTATAGAGCTGGTGCAATTTAGAGTCTGAACTACAAATCAGGAAGCTCAAAAACAGGTCACCCATGATCTCAGTAAGTAGTCTTAAGAAGCCCACGCTGGTTTAATTATATTTTTGTATGCAGGATGGAGATAATACTTTTGAGGTTTTGTAAGGAATTACAGTAAGATAATGTACATATGCAAGTCACTTGGCAGCTACTGTGTATTAATTCCTTTATATACTTTGTCCTTGATAGTGTATTTCCTCCTGTTTCTGTAGCTTGGGAAGTAATAGAATGGGAATTTTTGGAACTGATAATTTAGATAAGTGTTTTAAGGGGTTAAATTAGCTTCGTTTTAAACTACTGTTTATGAGCTGTGCATTTCCATGGCTGCTATGAGTTTGATTGCACATAAGCATTGTGCAAATGGGAAACTGGAAATCCTAATTTATGGAGTTCCATTCTGAATAAAATATGCTCAACATTCATTTGACTGCATTCTTACTATGACTAATGTTAGGAAAGCTTGCAGATAGTTATAATCCATTTCATAATTCTCCTGTTCATTTGTATCACTGCTCTTTTTTTTTCATTTATTAGATACCAGCGTGCCTGTATGCTTACAAGTCTACTTAATAGCATCTAGATTGCGTGAGACAGGTGGTTAAACCCAAACAATTGCTAAGAATTGCTACTTACCACAGAGTTGGGGCAGGCTTTAAAACTCTCTGTGTGTGTGTGGTGTGTGTTTAACTTAAGATATACCCAGTGGCGTCAGATGCAAAATAGTTACATAGATCAGGCATAGATCTAGTACAATTAAGGAACAGAATGCATCTGAACAGGGATAGGCTAACTTGGTGTCATCTAGAAGTGTTGGACTTCTTTTTGTATCAGTTACAACCAGGCAACCAGAGATCAAGTTGCCCATCTCTGTCTCTAAGTTCAAACCAAATCCAGAGTTACTTCAGATAAAAAAACCAATTCTGCTTTCTTTCCAACTTTTGTTCATTTCAGCAGCTTACTTTAGAAGTGCATAGTTTTTTTCCCCCTCACTGCTTTCTTAAACAAGTGGAAACCAGAAATGCTTGCACATTTACTAGAAGTGCAATTGGATTATGACTGGTAAGACTCTTTGCTCCCAACTTTACAACACAATTGGTTGTTTGCAGATCCATATAACTACAATAGCAATTTCCTGGAGATGAAATTGGCCCTTATGAGACCACAAGATAATAAAGCAGTCCTATCTATCTCAGCATGACTCGTCAAGAAGAAACCCCAAAGTCCTGAACAGAATCCAATTAGAAAAATGCTCTGGATGATCAGATAAGTCTGAGTGAACTTCAAAGTTACATTTCTTTCCTTCCTGTGTTACCACCTCAGAATTCCTGTTCCTCTCTTTGCTGTCCTCTCCTATTTCCATTTACTGTTTATTTATATTTGTCAATGAAGACATGAGCAGGATTTCCCTCCATTTTCTTCCTGTGCTTCCCTCAGCATCTGGGAGATACAGCAGACCGTCTTTCCCCAAAGCTTAGCTCACTGTGATGTTATTTACCTGCATACATGGATCAGTCTTGCCCAATCTGCTGGCCTTCAGATGTGTTGGAAGACATCTTTCGTGGAGCAGGGCCATGAAAGCCCGATCGACATGATGCGCAAGAAAGTTTTCTGAAAATTCTATTACTTGCCTCTGCTTCAAATATTTCTTTCACAATATCAGTAGAGCTTTTATCCACATCCCCCCCCCCCCCCCC